GCGGCGTTCCTGTGGCTAGTGTGGAGATCGTGGACATTGGAGGCTTCCCCCCAAACCTCAATGAGGTCCACGATCTCCGCACTAGACCACATGGGCGCCTGCCTTTTGCAGCCCCGGGCAGGGTCCTGGGAGCCGCCAGGCTGGTCCTGGGAAGAGGGGGAGGGCTGGGGGGCATCGGGTGGCTGGCTCATGGGGTGTCAGGTGCAGGGTCTGCTGGCTGGGTGCTGGCAGCCTTGAAACTGGCACAAACTGTGTAGCCAGCCCGTGGCCCTTTAAGGGGTCCGGGGCCGGGAGGGGGGCAGTAGAGTTTGCCTGGTGTTGGCCAGAGTGGCCACCAGGGCAAGCTGGGGAGGGCTAGCCTCCCACTAGTTCGAATTAAGGGGCTACACAGCCCTTAATTCGAACTAGTAAGTTCAAACTAGGCTTAATCCTCGTGGAATGAGGATTACCTAGTTCGAACTAAGCACTCCGTTAGTTCGAATTAAATTCGAACTAGCGGAGCGCTAGTGTAGCGCCTATGAAAGTTAGTTCGAACTAACATCCGTTAGTTCGAACTAACTTTGTAGTGTAGACATACCCTAAGTGCTGGATGTCAGATCTAGAGTTGGCGTCACACCACTCCACACACATAAAAGCCCAGTTGTATATTTGAGCTGGTTGGATTGCTTGTTTATTTTTTCCTGGTGAAAACAAGAGATGAGGAGTCTGTTGGCATTTGCAGCAGACATTTTTTACTTTTCTTCTAAAATGCACACACACACACACACAAAGTTTTCCGGCTTTCTGTTTTGTGACCTTCCCTTCCTCCCCCCCCCAAATTTTTTTTGATGGCACATTTTCAGCCAGCCTTAGTCACAACATTCCTGAACTCACCTGTGAATCAACAGCACTCTACAAAAGGCCACCACCACATTTCTTTGGTGTGTTTCTCCAATGGTAATGTCAGAAGCTCACTGTTATTCATTAGAGGCTTGCAATGATTGACTATCACAAAAGCCCCACTCCTCAAAGGCACCTTACTCCTATTGAAACACCTTTTTAGGAGCTGGGCCAAACTGACTTACTGAAGGTGTGTCAATGGTACAGACAGGAGTTTGTGGTCCCCAGCCCCTTTGGAAATTTTTTCTATTGATCTCTCCTCTGTTTTTCTCAGGCTGGGAGATGCCATGATAATGAAAGGAGCAGTGTAAATAAAAATAATAATCTAAAGGAGGGGCTGCTGGAGTATCAAAGCCACGATCAGATTTTCTACTATACTCCTGTTGGTTAGTGTGTCTTCTCGCAGGGCTTAGTCAGAAGTCCAAGTTCACTGACACTGTGGTACATGCTAGCTTTTTACTGACATGTGCTGGTCCCATACTAGGTTAACTGATCTTGGAACAACTGGCCCTAGTAATCAAGGGAACAGAGAGGACCCATTTATTCTATGCGGTTAGGTCTCACAGAACTGGTTGTAGGGATGAAGTGCCTTTTTTGACCATTCTGAAAATAATGTTCTTCTCTGAGTGTGACTTTAAGGATTCCATTTTCTTTAAGATGGGCCTAAGATGGGCAAAGGTTACTAAACAGTCTCCAAGAAAGCTTTCAGCCTTCTTTATGTGAGGATTGTCTGTCCTTGGTAACATGTATCCTTTCCCCCCCATTTTAATTTGTAATGATAAATGCCCTTGCATTAATAAATTCATAATAGATGCTTGTTTATCCCTTCAAGGCCAGTCCTTGCTGCTTTCATTAGCATGTCAGGATATTTATGACTTTGTGAATGACTGAAAATCTGCCATTTGTCATCAGGAATTAAGAAACATCCTTCTTCCATTTAGGATTGAAGTTGAGCTTTTGCCTTGGAGAGACAGAGCCACCTCTGGGCTTCTTAGACAAAAACAAAGCCAGACAGTGCCCAGATTTACTGCAGCAAGTGGCTCTTCATTACTCAGATGTCTTTGCTAATGTGTCATCTGCTGTTGCTGGTAGGGATCAGTGTTTACGGCTCAGCTAACCATAGGGAACATAAAATCCTCTATTCTGCAACAGCAAGAAAGAATGGGATGGTGACAGCGAGGAAAAGGGAGAGGAATGCAAATGTCTCCATTTCCCAGATAAAACAAAAATGACAACGTACACACACACACACACACACACACACACACAAATATGTCCATTCAAGGAAATACTATATTTCAATAAGTTGTTGCAGTTCTGCCGCACTCAGTAGCTCTCTACTTCAGAGCACATGAAGCCAACAGAATCTTGAAGACTGAAAAGGGAAGTTTATCGCCTCCTCGATGAAGTATGACATACTCAGGGACTAAAATAAAAAATTAAAGAAGATTTTCGCAAGCTAAACCATACTAACAGAAATCAAAGAGGGGGTGTTAGTTGATCTGCGCAGTGTGATATTTTCAGCATTGAAAAATTTCAGCCATTCAAGTGATATCTTTTTTGTTTCTTCAGGTTGACTAAGTGAAAAAATAAGAAACTGCTTTCAAGCATTGAAGATACTGGGCCAGGATGAACACGAAGGACACAAAAGTGACTGAAGGAGGTCTCAATGTCACACTTACCATACGCCTTCTCATGCACGGCAAGGTGATGCTCTTAACATTGCAACAGTGGTTGTCCTTTTTATTTATCTAGATGTCTGTGGTTGCATTAAAGTCTGACTGTGACATTTACAAAGGGCCTGCTCCTACTCCAATGCAAGTCAAGCAAAATTCCCATTGATTCAAGACCTGCCACTGATTCATTAATGTGACACTGCTTGTGCTGAACTTAAGCACGTATATAATTCCAGTCCTCTTCAGCACAGCACTTGGATAGGTGCGTAAATCAAGATCTTGGACAGGTTAGTTCAGGGCCAAAGGGCCAATATCCGTGTTGTTACAGCTTCACAATTCTGTGGTGCAGGGACTGAGAGCAATTACATAACACACCTCTGTTTCCAATACTTTGTTAATCTCTTAACACACACATGTACTGCTGTAAATTAAAACTTGTTTCACAGGTTCTCACTCTGAGAGCATATTTATTTGCAAATTTGGCAAACCAATTTGAGTGTTTTCTTGTTTGGAAAACATATGTGCAGTACTGGCCTCAGGTATACATTTTTTCTCCTTTAGCAAGGAGATCGTGAAAATAGACATAGATTAAATATTTTTGGAAATATCTCGCTAATATAAACAACATTTCTTTTGATTTATAATGCATAAAATACCTATATTGGGCTCTAGGCAGCAGTATTATACATTAAAAATGCAATTACATCAAACAAAAAACAGCAGCTACTTTTCACCCCCTACTCCAGAAAATAACTGATGAGAAATTCAACACCCATAATATAGCCACCTAACACACATACCAGACTCTCTCATGCCCCATTACATATAGGATTCATGTGTGGATCTCTATTTGTAGATAATGCACACAAACTATATTCAAAGAATATTAAGGTTGCAAAGGCAAGTAGGGATGTTAAATTTAGATTAAAAGGCTAATCGAATAATCGATACAATTTGCATCGACTATTCGATTAGTGTATAAGGGAGCCTTGCCTTTGAAGTGTAGTAACAGCCTGGGGGCCATTGCTACACTTCAAAGGTGAAAGCGATGCAGGGAGCACTGGGCCAGCGGGGGACTGATTGAGCCCCCCGCTGGCCCCTTGCTCCCCACAGCATTTCAAAGCAGCAGTACTGCATGGAGCCGGGGGCCAGCTGGGGAGTCCCCCACTGACCCTGACTACGTTGTGTTGCTGCTTTGAAATGTGGCATGGAGCCAGGAGACCAGCTGGGGAGTCCCCAGCTGACCCCGGCTCCACGCAGTGCTGTTGCTCTGAGGGCTTCCCTCCTCTTTCTGATAGAGGCAGCAAGTGGGGGGGAGCGACTAGTCAACTAGTGTATCGACTATCTGATAAGCTTTTGCCTATCGGATAGTCGATTAATCTTTCACGTCCCTAAAGGCAAGTCATTGAAAGGGAGAAGATGGCAGAATGAAGATTGCCAATATGACTCAGCCACTTTGTGCATATGTATTAGGACTGTCTTTAGTTACATGATCACATCCTGTTTTTTTCACAGGACTCCTGCCTCCTTTAGTGTAAAGGTCAGAACTGCTTTGAATGAATTAGGGTTGCAAAATGAAGGAGGCTGTTGTCTGTAGGACTGTTGGCTCCTATGTTGAGGAAGTTGGAAGACATATAGAAACTTGGGTAAGGGAGTGCAGGAAAGGAAAGGATGGCCTTGTGGTGTGGCAGTTGAATGCTGTTCTGAAAAATTGGATTCTATTCCTACTACTACCACAGAGTTCCTAAGTGATGCCGGACAAATAACTTAACCCAGACTTTTCACAAGTGGTCACTAATCATTTTCTGGGTGCCTGAGTTAAGATCCAGGAGCCTAATTTGTAGAGTGCACAGAAGTCAACGAGAGCTGTGCTTTAAACACACAAATGCTGTACAGGTTGAACCTCTCTAATCCAGCACCCTTGGGATCTGACCAGTTCTGAACGTGAGAATTTTCCGGATGAGGGGAGGTCAATATTGTCTAGAAGCATTACCAACACTTCCACTGCTTATTGGGCTGTTAGAGGACATTTAGGGGTAAATTAGGGCTAAATAACAGCACAGAACTCTGAGAACCAGGACTGGTGGCTGAAACAAACTTTATGGGACCGTGGGAAACTTGGCCACACCCATGAAAAGTGGACAACCAGCTAACTAAAATCTTTCTGGACCAGGGAGTTCTGGACAAGAGAGAATGATATTTGTTATTTGTATCTACAATGAGGTGACATTTGTATGGGCTTATCATGGAAGTGGAAGCAAATTTTGCCTTAAATATTCAATGTAGCATGCATTGTCTAGATATTTAAATGGTCCTTGTGACAACAGTATTTGAGTAATTCATAATATTTAATCATGGATTTTATCATTGTATAATGCTTAGAATGCTAGGTACTCTGAAAAAACAGTTCCTGACAACCTCAAATTAGGCACCCAAAATAGTGGATACTTTTGGCCATAATCTTTGTGCTTCAGCTCCCCATCTGTACAGTGGTGATAATAATATCTCCTCTCACTGGATGGTTGGGGAAATAAATTAATTAGCCTATGCGAAACACTCAAGTACTGCAGTGAAAAAGTCCAGTAGGAAAGTAATAATTATGTCTTCAGAGCAGGGCTTGATTAGTGTGCAGTAAATAAAGCACAGGGCTACGTATTAAAAAACAAGGAAAGATCAGAAAAATAAATTATCTAGGGAGGTTGTAGAATCTCCATCATTGGAAGTTTTTAAGAACAGGCTAGACAAACATCTGTCAGGCATGGTCTAGATAATATTTAGTCCTGCCTTGAATATAGAGGACTGGACTCTCGAGGTCACTTGCAGTCTTACAATTCTATGAAAATATTGAATGACTGTAATTCCCCCGCTGGGTCCAAGATGACACAGGGGCCCTGTGAAAAAAAATAGCATATGATTATGTAATTAAAGACTATATCATGATGCATACGCATAAGGTGGTCAAATTAAGATTACAGGACAACCTTAGCTCTGGCATTTCCAAATGTCTAGTGCTTAAATTTATAAGCTCAGTCATTTTATTTTTAGTTAGTTAGTGTTTGTGTGTAATTTAACTGAAGAACAGTTCTGTCATGTGCTGTGATATGTTGCCACCCACAAGGATCATCAGAGGGCTTGGAACCTTCAGATCTACCACATAGACTTCTACCACTTGAGCTATCAGTATAACTGACAGCAATAGTAGAAAGTCATTCTCTCTTTGGTCCAGCACAAAAAGGGGATGAGACAGATTGCCAGAGGGTTCATGGATCTTTGCTGACAGCAGAGGAATGGTGAGATTCAGGAATCTTGGTTTCCATCCCATGCTCTGGAGGGAAGTGTTTTCTAGCAGGCACAGGCTCTTCTACTAACACCCCTCATATTCACTCCCTCCCCCCTGCCCCATCCCACACTGGTTCCTATACCCATTCTCATAGTCCAGCCAATTCCAGTCAGTTTCTCATCCTCCAACCTCTAGTTTTAGTCTGGCCAGGCTCTTTATCCAAATCTGCTTCTTCCCCCTTCCTCTTGCTCATTTTTTACTGGGGCAGCAAAAGGGATGTCCCTGACATAAATGCCACCATTGCCAAATTTCATGTCCTTTTTCCAAAGTAAGGGGACACAATATCTGATCAAAAAAAGGATCACCAGAATTTTTTAGTACTGAACAAAATTCTGTATTTTTCCCTAAGAAGTGGGTGAATCATTTTGGCTGAAATTGAGGAATTTTCATCTAGGGAAAGCCCCATAGCATGCAAAACTTAAGTAACTGAAAATAGTTTCTTATAATGGGGAGTATCAGGAAAACTTAAAAAGCTTATGTGTGTGCATAAAAACCTAGCTTGTGGTTCTTAAGAGTCCATCCTATAAGATACTGGCCAAGTCCAACACAGCACTTAAACAGATGGGTTTTTTTATGTCTGTGATTAGTCCCATTGGCTCCAAATAAACTGCTTTTGTCTTATGTGAATTTCTGGATAACACCAGAAAGCAAAGTTGCTGTCAGAATCAAGCCCTTTATGTAGCTCAATGAGTATCAGGACATTTTCATTAAACTTTTTTTTAAACTAGTGTAAAGCAATCAGAAAGGAAATTAGAAGGAGTTAATTTTCTGTGTTGAACGCAGTGAATTGGGTGCACAACCACAGTTAGCAATAAATGGTTGTTATGTGTTTAATCTTCAATTAACATGTAGCCCTGAGGGTTTAAATTAAACCCATAAAAACAAGGAAATTCAAAGTTAAACTGGAAATATACCATAGATCCTCAGTTAACAAGGCACAATGGATGTACTCTTAACTACAGTATGCTCTAATAAAGTGCCCTATTGTGCCTAAACATTGTAGAGAATGTATTACATTATAATTTTTTTGTATATTAAATTCAGGGCCTCACATTTGCTTTGATGTCATCTTTGTGATTTAAACATGCTAATATCAATGTTAGAGTTAATGTGAACTAACTGCCAAGAGGTCATTCTGAGAGCTGTGAGTGGCTCTGAAATGGAGCAAGAAATATGCTTCCACACCGTTTCTTAAGATTTGCTGCACTAATGGCATCACTGGAAGTTGCTGTACTCTAATTAGTGTTCCCAGATAAAACACTTAATGGGGCCAGCATTTAAGTTGTAAATAAGGATTCATAACTTGCAGGGAAAAGTGGAAATATAGGGGAGTCCAAACCTTAACTCTGTCTCTATAATTGTGTTACCTTCTGAACTCCTACATTAGGAGGTTAATATCTTATGACAGCTGCATTGTAGGGATGTCAAATCCTGTTTAATTGGTTAGCCGGGGATGGTGGGCTGGAGTGGGCCTGCCACTGGGCTGGAGCAGCCCCTGCCTGTGATGGGCCAGGTCACCCCTCAGGCAGGGGCTGCTCCAGCATCCCAGGTGGAATAGCCTCTGCTTGAGGAGCATCCTCCTGCTTGTGGCAGGTGGGGAGCTACTCCAGCCTCCCACTAGTTAACCTTACCTGGTAAGGCTCACCCATTAAGAGTCAGGCTTACTGGTTAACCTGTTAAACATTCACATC